ATCAATAGTTTGGGGGTCTTGACCATTGGAGTAAGGTTTTGGCAATTTACCGGAGTCTGCATAAATGGGCACGTTGCATCATAGAGTATAGCTATACTTGGAGGGTGGGGGACTTAGTAAGTAGGTAGCAAGTAGGCTTATAAGTACCCTAAAAGGGACCCTAATTGGGGTTATGGTACTTATAAGTCCCTAAAATAACCAGTTACTAAGTCTCCCGACCCTCCAAGTAGGATGCTATAGGGATAGCATCAACAACTCTTCCGACCTCCCCATTTTCCGCTGCGTGTACAGGTTACCTTAACCGACCAAACCCTATTTTTTTGTAGGCTCTTATACTGAACCCTAATATGGGATTTATAGGGACCCTACAAAAAGTAGGGGTGGGAGGTTAAGGTAGAGTACACCGCCAACACAAACGATCCGAAGCCCAGATCTCTAACCCAAAGGGTCCTAGGTACTGTTATGGGGAATACTTCCCCAAATCATGATAAGAATTCCTAATATAGAAACCCTACATTCTACTATATAGGTACTTTGGATCCTTTGGGTAAGTACACTTCAGCCCACCCTAAGCTCTATACGCCCCCAAACCTCCAAACCCGAACTTGAAGCCCCGAAACCCCTAAACTCGAAACCCCGTAAACCCTCAATTCTCAACCCCTAAACCCTCAACCCTGGACCTTCCACCCTCAACGCTGGAATGACCGTCGAACCTGAATCCCTAAACTACCCATAGGCCCCAAAGTACTTCCTTTCCGGGGTTCATATATAGAATCCTATATAAGGTCGCCCCAAAAAGGGAACTACTTTGGGGCCTATGGGTAACCTGTGAACCTGAACCCCAGATGACGGCAGTTGCACAGCCCGTTGTCCTCGGTTCAAGACCCAAGGACTCCATGATCTAATCCAGGGCCTGAATTATTACTTGGGGTTTTGGGGAGAAATATGCGATAGTTGAGGAGGAACCCTATAATAATGGCTACTATGAGTTTTCTTCCGATCCCCCACATACAGGGGCTTGAGTAAATCCCAATAGTATTTCCTCGGGCTCCTTATCAAAATTTCTTATAATGTCTCCACAAACCTACTCTAGCTCTATAGTCATTCAGGCCCCGAAACTTGCGCCGGGCAACACGCGTCCCTCATTCCCCTTCTCATTCCGACAGTCTTGGTTGACTGCAGCTCACACCCCAAGCCTTTGCATAGCCTCAAGCTCTCTTATCGGCTCCTTCTTATAAGTATACTGTAATGTAACCCAAACCTTAGTCTATAGTCATTAAAGCCCCTGCAGTAGTGCTCCGGAGCTTCTACACATTGCTGTAGGACACGCAAAGCAGCTCATGGGTCCTATCAAGACAGCCCTTCTTTCAGAAGCAACCGCAACTGCGGTGTACTGGAGGGCAGGATGATGAGAAGGGCACCATGCAGCTTGGGCATGGCTCTAGTCTGGATCCCTGCTACACTGGTCAGTGGTCAAACTGACTTGGGCAGGTCAAAGGGAGACCCGCGGTGTTGGACGGAACCTCTTTGGCAGCGATTCCGGGAGCATTGCTGCCAAGATGAATCATCTTGGGATAGGATGCGCTGTGGCATGCCAGACTTCAGCTATATTACTTTCGCGAAGTGCTGTCAGGGCAAGGGATTTTACAATTCTGCCGACAACTGCCTCCACAGCCAGTCACAGCATGGTGAGGAAAATTTTATCATTGACACTTTTCAATGGCAGAAGAAGCGCGACGGAGTTTATGTTGAGATGGGAGCATTCGATGGCATCACCTACTCAAACACACTGCGGCTGCATAGCTGTTTCGGTTGGAGAGGTCCGGGCCGTGCTTCGAAATCCGTTTAATTGGGCTTGAGTTCACTGGGTCACCATCTCGCAAACACAGATGTATGATAGCAATTATAAACCATCAAAGAATCAAAGACTTGCTGGTGCTGAATGGCGAGGGTGACAGTGAGTCTCTGTAACAGTTCCTTTCCAACACCTTGTAGTAGTACTGTAGTCCCAACCTCCTATTCCTTCCTCGACTCTTGCTGAAGCACGAGCAACAAGACCGCGGAATGATTGCACTTTAGATCGCCATGTCAGCTTGCATGAATCGATCCTCGCATCATGCAAGCCCCATGGCCTGGATCCTAAGCCCCCGATTACCTCCGATGCAAAGAATATCACTGTGACTTTTCCACGGCAGACGCACAACCAGCATGAACGACTGCACTGCTCGAGCTGGCAAGATAGCACTGTACCCTCGCAACAACGAACGTTGGTATGTACTCGAGATACTGCACCGAGTTCTGGTCATGACCACGAACATATCGTGACACACTGCGCCAGCTGCCTCCCACACATTTGTTGACATTATTGAGTCAGCATCGCTTTGGTCCGCAAGACGGTGCCACAGTACAGTAATCGGTTGAAAGAGAAGTAGAAGTCTTCCCAGCAGCGTACAGAAGCAGGACATTCTGATCCCGCAGGTATCCTGATCGAAGGCAGCCCTCGCAACTTTGCTCGACTTCAGCTTAATTGGCCGGCAGCACGCCCCATCAATGCTGTGGCCTACAATGGCGCCGTCTGTGCGCCACCTCGGAACCATGTGACCTTCATTACGAACCAGTGCCCGGGTCCTCTTTTGGGAGTCATTTTGGGTTTAGGTTTCAGGGATTAGGGTTTTAGGGGTTTAGGGGTTCAGGGTTTAGGGGTTGGGATAAAAGGGTTTAGTACCTGGGTCGACATTGGGAGTCAAGGTTGATGCTTTGCGTGTCTTGCGTGTTGAGAGTATCCCTAGGGCTCCAGTTACTTAAATGGTATAGGATACTGGGGCGTATAATTGATTGGTAGTAACCTACTATTTAGGTAGCTGGAGCCCCGGTGTATGTTAAGCTTCTAGCATATAGCTTTTCAGCGACAGGGACGGCGCGATGGATGCTGATGTGGAGCACATGACGCGAGAGGTCAAGAACCACTACAACGATACCTTTTTCGGAGAAGTGGAGCGGATTCCTTGCAAGCCCATGTCCTCATACTTGCGTGGCACAAACCACATAGACTTTTTTGCCTTGGATGTGGAAGGGTCGGAGCTGGAGGTCCTGCTCACCATGGACTTCACAGAAGTGACAGTGGAGGTTTGGGCATTTCTGCTTCGTAATTATAATGGACACCCACAGCGAAATATGAAGTTTAGGGTTTAGGACTCTTGTTATGTTTGGTTCAACTGGGCTTCCTGAGGTCTTCATGATCGAGTTCCACTGGTTCGACCCGGAAAAGAGTTGGAAGATACGAAACTTGCTCAAGAGTCTTGGCTACCTGGAATGCCGAAAGAGTTTGGACATCAATTATCTCTTCGTGCGGAAGGACGGCCCATATGCTGGACGCTGCTAGGCCCATGGCGACCTAATCCCGTCCTAAACCTCTTAACCACACCCTAAACCCCAGAAGCGCTACTCCCCTAAATTCTAAACCCTTGAGGCCTGAGGGCCTTTCAGGTGTAGCCCGGTTTAGGGAGAAGGGCAAAGGGTGACCCTTCATCTTGCACTACGCTGCGTAGGCTCTGGCTTTGACAAGCTTCACGAGTCATTGCAAGCAAGATGCTCCCGAAAAGCTCTTCCGATGACTTAGGGCTTACCTGGACACTATGAGCCTACCCTTGTAGGGCTCCTGATTAAGATTTCTGTATATAGGGCATTAAGAAGGTAGGATATCCGAGGTTATCGTAAGGTTAGGTAAGGTTTAACAGTACTAAGACCGTTTAGAGTTTATGTTCAGCAGTTTAAGCTTGCCTTGAGGCTGAAAGATTGATGGTTTCGGGCTTCACTTACCTTTGGTTAGTCGGGGATGGAAGAATGGTAGTAATAGTAGTTATACTTGTACCCCATTCCTCCACCCCCTACTAACCCTAAACCCCTAAGCCCTAAACCCTTAAACCCTAAGCCCGTAAACCCTAAACCCCTAAACCCTATTAACCAAAGGTGAGATCAGGGTTCGAAGTCGAAGGCTGAGGTTTCTGGTTATCAGTTTTAAACCCTAAACCCCACGCCCGAAACCCTAAACCCTATTGCAACCAGTTCGGGCCTATTGGATCGATGCTATTCCAATAAATCTGCACAAAGCTCCTTTCCAGATTGAGGGATGCCAGGCTTAGGATGTTTTTGTAACGATTGTCATGAGTTTTTGAGGGGGTTCGGTGTAGGCTGTGGCTCAGGTCGACTTCCTTGTGGGTCTGAGGTTGTGGGCTGTAGACTTCTGAGCTCTGAAACTTTCAGGTTCCTCATCCCTGAAAGCCTCCGATGAAGCACCTACCTACCGAACCCAGAACATCCACAGCATCCATCGGCCCAGTAAGAAACCCGAAGTTCTAAACCCTAAACATAGACCTTGAGCATCCATAGGCCCAATAAGACATCTTAAATCCGAACCCCCGGCCCGGGAATGATCCGACTGCGGCTCCAAAGCAAGGCAGCCCGAAATCCGAGAAATCCGAGTACTCTAAGCCTGCTGGGCTTCAGCTTCGGGGTTTGGTCTATAGAGGTTCGATGGGTTTAGGGTTTAAGGGTTTAGGGTTTAAGGTTCAAGGGTTTAGGTTTTAGGGTTTAGGGTTCAGTGGGAGTTCTGTACAAGCTGTTTTAGTGTTTAGGGGGCGGGTTGCATCAGAATGTGGGCAACTGAGGCCTTGAACCACCCAGCATTTGGCCCTAAGGGTGCGGAGATTGACAGATAAAATGATCTAAGTGCAAGAGGAGTCAATATAGGTAGATCCCCTACAGCAGCCCGAAAGTATTAGAAGCTTCCAGTGTAAGGTTACCCAAATTAAATCCTTATGTTTACCACGTACTGCTTAGTTCTTCAGAGATGCATTACTTGTAGTGATGCTGCTCCCTAGAAATAATTGTGTGTTGTTTATTACAAGACAGCTCCCAGGGATTAAATGAATAAATACTGTGGTTCTTGGGCGCTAAAGTAGCATCCTTCTCCGGTCTTGGCCGGATAGCGCGTGGCTGTCATGGACGCAGCGCGTCCTCTGGCAGGTGGATGCCGGCTTGATGTGGACTTCGCAAGCCCCAAATTGTAAACTCCAGACTCTTTCGGGTCTACACTCGAAATCCCAAAGAAAAACTCGAAACTCTAGACCCTGCACCCTAAACCTAAACCCGATGAGCTCCAAACTCTAGACTGTAAGCCCTAAACCCTAAGCTCTAGACTTGAAACCGCAGCCAAACTCTAAAACCCTAAACCCTGAAGCCCCAAATCCTAAACCCTTCATGTTCGTACTTGCGCCCTAGAGTTGACGATTCCGGCGCATCGGTGGCGATTGACATATTGAAGGGTTCTGGGGGTTCGGGGTTCAGGGTTCCTTGCCTCGGGTTAGTGGTGTAGGGCTTAAGGAGTTTAGGGGTATGGGTTGAGGTCGGGCTCAACTGTGGTACAAGGGTCCTAAGCCCTAAACCGTGGCTCAGTTTGTCGAGCGCCTTGAACTAAAGAGGACATCGATCCCAAGCAGGACCCAACCCGCATCACAAAGCGGACACTCGACCCTCAACCTTGAGTGCTACATGCTTAAAGGGGCACTACTTGGAGGTTCATGGATAGTTATAGTTTTTAGTAGGGTTATAAGTTATAAGTCCCAAAATATGAGTTAAACGTATAGCTACCCTACTTATAACCCCACTTATACCTACACATGAACCTCCAAGTAGCGTCACAAGCGAAGTCTCAGAGGCAGCGCGGAGGCGTCTGCAGGCCGTGGTGGCAGTACGGAAGGACTTTAGAGTTCGGGGTTTCAGGGGTGTGTGGGCATGGTCTTAGGGCTTAACTTCGAGGTACTTAGAGAAATATTTTTTAATTTTTGGTTATTTTAATCCCTAAGAAACAGCTAAAATTAAAAATGTTGCTAGGTTTCTAAGTTCAGTATAGTTAAAGTTAGGCTTTGCAGGGATTAAGTACGAGATAGAATTCGGTGGTGCTTGATCGACCCATTTCGGATGGAAGGACTTTGGATGTGTTTGTCATTGGAAAAGTCTGCCCCTTTGTTTTTGTATCGAGGGTTTGGCTTTTGAAGGAGAGACTTCGGATTAACTGCCATGATGTTTTCTGCTCGTATTCCGGCAGTGGTATTTGCTATTATCACTTTACCGTCGAGTGTAGTTATTGTTTTGTTATTGCACTGCTCTGCAACTAGTCTGAATGTCATGAACAATAATGTTATCGCCAGGACTAGAGTTGGTGGTAGGGCTGCTGAAAGCAATGCTTCAGCGATCAGCAAGACGGTCGCTCATGCTCCTTTCCTCACCTTGATCATTACGGTACTTTCCGGCGGCTTTCCAGATGATATCTGAGCTGGATGCGAATGTACCACCAGGCCTCAACCATGAACACTGCACCCTAACCTGCTAGCCTTATAGTGCCTGAATTCCGAGCCCTAATCCAAAGCCATACCTCAACCCGGATCGTCTTCCGATTTGCAAGCTCGAATCCTCGTCCGTCGCAACCATGATGCCGAGCTACATCCCTAAACCCTACATCCTAAGCAGCTCATCCTAAAGCCTAAACCCGTAAACCTTCCCTAAACCAAAAAACACCAAAGAAGGTGTTGAACACAAAGCCTGAACCCTGAACCGAGTGTTGGGTTCAGGTTTCCGAAGCTCCTCGTGCCAAAGGGTCCTAGGTACTCCTACAGTAGAATGTGGGGTTTTCTATAGTAGGAATGAGGGTTCGCGGTTTAGGGTGGCTTAAGTACCTATTATAATATAGTAGAATGAAGGGTGTCTATAGTAAAATTGCGGCGTAGGTTAAGTATTTTTTCGCAGAATGTAGGGTTTGCATAGTCGGAGTATTAGCAGTATGATGTGGGAAGCTATCCCCGATCATACTACCTAGCACCCAGAGACTCCACCACCACCAAGTTCAGCAATATACCCTTAAATTCTTTCAGGGTTCCTACATTTGTTGCGGGAGGTTCCTTATCCAAAGGGTCCTAAGCATCTACATTATATAGTAGAAGCCAGGGTTTCTATAGCAGGAACTACTGTTAGGATTTGGGGAAGTATCCCCCCATAACAGTACCTAGGACCTTCTGGGTTCATGAATCCAAACTTACAAGGAGGGACCCTTAATAAGGACCCCTAGGTATATACCCTTAATATAGCTATTTTGTACCCATTATATAACCCATTATAGGGTTGGGGTCCCCATTAAGGGTCCCTCCTGTTCCCCTTTGAATGAAGGGGCCCATGAGTCCCTAAAAACCATCCCTTTAAGGATTGTTGATGATATAAATCCTGCATTACCTTAAGGACCCTAAATAACGAGAACTATGGTATATTCCTTATTATGGGTCATGCAGGATTTAGATCATCAGCCGACTTCTACAAAGAAATCACATTAAGGAGCCCCAAACTTGGGAGGCTTCAGAGGGTCCCAGGTATTCCTCAGTGAATGGGCCTTTCAGACCGGTGGAGGACAGACAGCTCCAAAACCTCATAGCCCTTAACGCTTCTTAGGGTTCCTTCTATGACTCAAGGTATATATATATATATATATATATATATCACATATATATATATATATATATATATATATCCTTAAACTTAGTTAACCCTGAACCCTAAGCCGTGGAGGACAGAGGCTCAGCGGCTCATGGAGCGGACGTGAGCGAAAATCAGTCGTGGATCCCAAGCTGCCCACAGCTATAGGTTTAGGGCTGGTTTTCCAGGGCTCAGGGTTTAGGATTGAGGGGTTCGTAGACTAGGGGCTCAGACCGACTTAGAACACAAGCTGCGGTCTCAGTTTTTGGGGGAATGGGGTTGGGTTAGCTCGGCATTTGAAGTCCTACTCTAAACCCGGGTTTCGGGGCCTCTAAATTAGTAAAACTCAAAAGAACGCAGGTTTTAGGGTTTAGGATTAGGGCTTAAGGCTAAGGGTTCAGCGCTTTCGGATTAGGGCCAGGGATGGACTTGTGCTTCTTAGCCAGTGGGGTGTTCACATCCCTGTCCTTCCTATGAAAATACATCTTGTCAAGTGTGAAGGGGCGTTACGCACATCTTGGCGGTTTTATAAATACCCCGAGACTCGAAAGCTCCTGGTGCAAGGAATATATCCTGTAAATGAGAGTAGGAGCCCTACTACGGCTTGAGGTGTACCCCAAAATAGTAGGATCCTTATTATAAGGACCCCCAAATAAGGTACCCCTAATTTTCGGAAACTCCCTTATGTTGTGTCTGTGAATTCTCTCGTATTCATAAGGAAGGGGTTTTTGAGGCCTCTGGGTCTTCGAGGGAAAAGTTTGTTTTCATGGTTCTAAACCCCCGAATCCTGGACGTGTACTTAAAGGATCATAGGACTTGTTATAACTAGGGTAACTATACTTATAGCTACTTATAACCCCAGTTAGGGTACATATAACCTTACTTACTAAGTCCCATGACCCTCCAAATAAGCCCTCAGACTACGCACTCGTAGACCTCAGCCCCCATCCCACTGACCCGATACTTAAACCCTGCAGCAGATCGTCTTGGGAATTCAGAAGCTTAAATACCCAAGTACCAGTATTGGTCCTGATTGTATAGTTGTACTCTAATATGCTCCTAAACATTATTCTAATTGATAATTAAGGCCCCCGTATTCAGAGTCCAGAGATTTAGGACATAGGCTTACGGATTGAGTGCGCTTTCGGCTAGGGAATTCGAGATTCAAACGACAATGCGGATCTTCAGAAGCTTCCGAAGCCGTTGCGCAAGCCACAGATCGCCCTGAGAGCCTTTTTCGGGGCGTGTCTTTTCCATGCCCATGCAACATATCCGCTACTCAAACCGAGGCCTATATTTTAATTCAAACTGTCAAACTTACCGAATCCCCAGGCCGCTAAAATTCTGTAATCCTGCTTAAGTTCAGAAGCGCAACCTGAGACCAGACACCCCAAAGCCATGAACACCCGCCAAGGAACAAGTGGCAGAAGGCACTCGATTGCAAAGTGTCTTCTTCAGCTTACTGTCTAATAGCTTCATTCGCAGGGATGTTGGTATACAATGCCTCAGCACCCTAAACCCTAAACCCTAAACCCTAAACCGTATGGAGCTTTGGAGACTTCAGGTTCAGGGGCTACGCTAGACTACTTGGAGGTTCATGGGTTAACAAGTAGGGTTATAAGTCCCCGAATATGAGTTATAAGTATAGTTACCCATGAACCTCCAAGTAAACCCTAAACCCTAAACCTCAAACCCTAAGCACACTAGAATATATCACCCAAAACCTTGCTCAAGAAGCTATAGGGCCTGACGGGTTCCTGTCAGAACAGATAAAATGGCTTCGGTGAGACATTTTCCGCATCTCTACATAGGGACCGTGAGCATTAACACTCGGAGCCCGCCTCCCCGGAAAAAAACATATTCGGAAACTCTGATACTAGGCAACACGCTCTGGGATATTAATCGTCGATTTGAGGAGGGTTTAGGGCTGGTATTGGGCTGACTAGTGGCTGATAAACAGTCGGTTTTGTCATTCTTCGTGTTCTCATCCATACACTCGCAATACGAACACTACTTCGTGTGAGTGAGCTGGCATCCCAAACCCTGCGCCCTAAACTGTTGGAAGAGCTCGACTCGGGCAGGCGTAAAAGTTACCTTCCTGATAGAAAAACTCTAACCACCTAACCCTAAATCTTACAGACATATGCCCAAGATATTATATGGGAGTTTCCGAAAATAGGGGACCCTCATATAGTACCCTAAAGAATAGGATCCTTATTACAAGGACCCCAAATAAGGTACCCCTAGTTTTCGGAAACTCCCATATAACTGAAATCCTAAATCCTCAGGATGACTCGGAGCTAAGTCAGAGCCCGAAGCACCCACATCTAGGACCCTTTCGGAGACTGCGTGAAGCTTGCTGTTGGTGTAGTGTCGCCTTAAGACAACTGAAAAGAGAAGAGTAAGATGAAATCTGGTTCCTTCAGCCCACAAAGCCCCCAAGGTTTTAGATCTTAGAGTTTCGATACTTGGCGCCAAAATCATTTTTATATGACCTCTGTATCGTATGGGGTCGGTCTCAATGGAGGAGACGAGAGAGCCCTCACGTTCACTCGACCCGATGCCAAGTTCCTGGGAGCCACACGGATGGCCATGCCAATGTTGGCTCGACGCCGCCCCCCTCCACGCAGAGTGGCAGCAGTACACCGCAAGACCTCCGTCTCTGCAGGCAATGTAGGCTTGCATGGGAGTTTCAGGCAGAACCCCAACAGGGTCCGTCACCTAGTGGTTATTTCCTCCGCAAAGTTTTTTGTCTAAGATCCCTGGCAAGGCTCTGGTGTGTAGGTACATTGGCCGTTGAGCGAAGACCCGGGGTACTCACCCTGTACTTTGGCTTTTTAAAGTGGTCTCTCCCAGACATTTTGGGGCCAAAGAAAGCATGTACGATTTTGGGTACATCAACCCTACTTAAAGGATCATGGGACTTAGTAACCAGGGTTATAATTAAGGTAACTATACTTATAACTACTTATAACCCCAGTTAAGGTACTTATAACCTTACTTACTAAGTCCCATGATCCTGCAAGTAAGGTTTACATGTTCTCAGGTAGGATCTTTTGCGGCAGCTCCCACAGGCGCTTGGTTGAAGGACCACATCTGCTCGTTCAGGGTGTAAGGTTTGAAAAACCGCAGCCGCCATCTTTTGTCTTTATTTAGGGCTTGGGGGGGCTTGAAACCCTAAACCTTAAACCCTACCTCACCCTGAAGAACCTACCTTTTTAAGGATTTATATAAAGAAATCATATTCGGGAACCCTAAAAAAGGTAGGTTCCTTAGGGTCCAGGTAGTACTTGCAGGGTTGAAGCCGCCATGTTTGCCGAGAGACAGCAGGCGGCCGTCGCTGCACCGTCGCCGCAGACAGTTATTTCGAGGCAAGGCTTGTTTTGGGTTTACAGTAGCCCCAAGGGTCCAAAGGACCCAATAATTAAGTTCTCGGTTTTAGGATAGTAGTTATGTTGGTTAGGATTTTGGAGAGTATATGATTATTAGGTACTTGGACACTTGGGGTAGAAGCCAGAAAGTTGGAACATTATTAGCCTCATGCCCTTAAAGCCAGTTATAGGGAATCCTAGCACTGATCCTCCTAAATCCATGTTCCAATTTTCTGGGATTCACTATAGGATGCTTCAGGGTTTAGGGATTTAGGGTTTGGGGATTTGGGTTTAGGATGCTTTAGGGATTACAGCTCATCTTCGTGCGATTAGGGAAGCTGTGTTTAGGGTTCAGGGATGTGGGCGCAGAGCGAGGTGTTTGTTTCAATTGCTTGTGCTTGTTTCTGGTTTAGTATGCATCTTGTTGCTGCTATGACTGCTATGACTACGTGGGTTTATTCGTGCATTGTTGGCTTGTGAGTGTCTCTAAGTATTTGTCCGAACTACGTTTTGATTGATGTCCTTCTTCTTAGCTTGTTTGTATGTTGGCTTCGTTGCATTGTTCCTTTTTGGCTATTGTGTACCTTTAGGCTTCGCGGTCTTTGGCGTACTGGTTTCTTGACTTCCGCGCATTCTGCTATCGACAACAACAGCAACAACCACAGCGACACCCGATCCCGAGCCGAGCCACGCTGTTTCTTGTTGAAAGTAAAGCCATGAAACCTGTACCCCAAGCCCCAAGCCGCACTTACTCTCCAAATCGATTGAAGACCTTATGTTTGGGAGTTTCCGAATACAGGGGACCCTAATATAGTACCCTAAGTGGTAGGATCCTTACTATAAGGACCCCCAAAATAGTACGGTATCCCTAAGCTTCGGAAACCCACTTATAAGCCCTTAGCATCCTGACAGCCTGGAAAATCGCCTCCAGTCAGAGTATGCCAATGCTGGACCGGCTAGGGTTTAGGGGTTTAGGGTTTAGGGGTTTAGGGTTGAGGGTGGCCCTCTGAAGTGCGCACCAACTGGGGCTAGTGCTGGATCGGCATGTTGATGTGTCCGATGCTTGATTTTGAAGGGTTGTGGTTCCTATTCAGTGGATGTGAAAAAGATTGGGGATTGCTTGTGGGTGTTGGAACTTTACCTAAGGTTTGGGTTTTGCTTTGCTGCTATGATGTGCTATTCTACCGGAGCGGGGAGGTCTGGGAGCACATGAGGATCACGTTATTTAGGATGCTGGACAATGTTGAGGGGTCCCACTTTTGCCGGTCTTACATTACGCTGAAATCTCCAGATCCTCGCACAGGCAATTGACGGGACCGATGGCAATCAGAATCAGGAAGCGAGTCACGGCTGATGTTTCAAGGTTGCGTGAACTTAGGATTCACAACTTCCTCTCAAGATGACCATAAGACGGTTGTATATAGGCTTGGTCCACCCCGGAACAAGCTTGCTGAACACTCGCTCAGTTAAGAATTTCGTGTAGACATGCTGTAGGGGTTGCTGTAAGGCTGTAAGGTTTTCAACTGCTGCACCCCACCTTAGCCTCTTCCTGCGGTTACCCGACCATCAGCGACGTGAAGGTAGCCATTCACGCAAGCTGCGCCTTCTTTGCTTGTCTGTGTCATCAGTCGGATTCCTAGACCCAAGAACCCCAACCTCCGAACCCTGAAGCCCTACACCCTTGAAGTGCTAAGCCTTATCTCTGGGACTTCCCTGCGAACGTGCCCGAACTGCATCCACGGACGTCCCCACCCGGGCAATTCCTCAAGCCCGCAGGAACGTACAACATTCGCCGCGGTCCTCGTTTAAAATTCTGAGCCTTTCTTCGCTTCAGGCCAAATCTGAGAAAACTAGGCCTTGCAATCGCCCAAGAACACCAAACTCTGTAGCCCAGCATACTGATAGAACCGTTGAGGAAGCCTTCTCGAACCCTTACAGTATATGTAACACACACACACACACACATGGGCAACTGTCAGAATTATGGTCCCTTGTTGGGTCCTTAATATGTAATACGGCACCTAGTATTGAGGGTACCCATAAGAGGACCATAATTTTGACAACAACCCACATGGAACCCCTGGAAAGCCCTCCGGACTTCACTTTAGAGGTCAGAATAATACTCCGAGAATCCTACTCTAAATATGAACTTTAGCAGGATACTTAAATCCAAAACTCTTAATTGTTAAGACCCCTATATCAGGGCACGTCAATCCTAAACCCTATATAAGCCCTAAACATCCTCAACGCTAAACTTCAACCCCAAACCCTGAAAACCCAAAGTCACTGAACCCTACCCATAGGCCCCATAGTAGTTCCTTTTTGGGGCTCATATTGAAAATTCGATAAGGTAATCCCCAAAAGGAACTACTCCGGAGCCTATGGGTAGACCTTATAAACCCTAAACCCCGCAAACCCCAAACCCGGAAGCCCTAAGTTGTTGATCCAAGAGCCGGACATCCGAGGGGCAGCTTTCCCGACTCGGTGAGAGGATCCTTCGAGAACTTGCCGCTCGGTTTTTGGGGGTTTAGGGTTGTGATGTAGGGTTTAGGGATGTTTAGGGTTTCGGGTTCAGAGTTCAGGGTTTGGGGTTTAAGGTTGTAGGGTTTAGGATTCAGGGCTTGGGGTTGCGGGCTTCTTTATGCGGCTACGGAAAGTTTGTTGCATGTGCTTCTCTAGCTGTTTTGCAGAGTTCTACTTGGTCTTACAGGTGAGTTTAGACAGGGTTCTTGTGTTGAGGCGGTCTTGACAGGGCAAGACCCATGACTCCATCCGGGCTTAGGGCACTCAGGTTTCGATATTGCCAAAGGGCTTGGCCTGTAGGATGGAAATTACACTTAACCCTGCTGCACCCTGATCTCTTAACCCTTCACCCCTAAACCCTAAACCCTGCCTTTAAATTTGCTAGAGAGCGTTCCAAGCTACGATGCTTCTTCGCACCGGTTTATTAGGCTAGGTTAGAAGGGTTTTGGTATTCTACAGAGCTCTGACGAACAAATATCCCCTCACAGACTCTCTCTCTCTCTCCCTCTCTCTCCCCCCTATATATATATATACACACACACACATACTATATTCATATAGCCCAAACCCGATGCCACATATTCACATGGCCTTTATTCAGGCTTCAGTGTGGAGTCGGCCCTCAAACCTTCCACCTGAATCATTGAGGCCCTGGTATCAAAGAGCACTCAGAAACCTACTGTAATACCCGAAAACCGAAAACCCTGAACCCTACTACCCTAAACCCTACCTTAACTCGGCATAACCTACCCTTTTTAAGAACTTGTATAAATCACAATGAGGAACCTTACAAAGGTAAGTTCCTCAGGGTTAAGGTAAACCCTCCAAGAGCAGGAGGAGCCCATCCTACATGGAACGAAGGAGGTCGTGCAACGGTTGATGATATATACGTGCAACGTTGATGATATATATATATATATATATCCTGCATTACCTTAAGGAACCGAGAGACTTCCAAACCGTCGCCACGCTTCAGGTGATCGGCTACTTTGCTGCGACGAAGTACGAGGCGACGCCTGCGTCAACCATCAGTAAATGCATCGATTCAGTTCGAGGTCCTGGCCGACTTGGCAGCAGTGCGAAGCGAAGAAATTGCGGCGGTGTTCGAAGCCGCACGCATTCCAGGTAGGCTGGCCGTTAAGTTATCTTCGAAACAACCACATGAAGCTCAGGGTCGGAATATTACTCCGACGGATGCCATCTGAATGCGCGCGGCATCCGAGCAATCGTGATCAAATACTTGCCGGCCCTCGCGAAAGCCTCGCTCGACTGACGAAACACTATTATTCCAGAAGAAGCCCTGGAAATTCAGGCAGCGGACATAGTCATCTCGGATTCCGCACTTTGCGCCGTAGCCAATGCCGAGGCAAGAATTCATGAAGAGTGCGGTTCTCAAATAAAAAACATGGGAGAGCGATATCGCCAGGAGGACCAATGGTGGGGGGGCGATCGGGGCGCCCTGGCTGCTTCTGCCGGTTCACCCGGCTTGGGGGAAGGGATTCAGCTGGGGCGGCTTCAATCGGCACCTCTGGAACCTTGTGCAGCCACTGGAAGAGAAGGCCCCACGGCTTCGCAGCTCTTGGTAACCTTCAAACAAAAAAGTATCGCGGAGGAGAGAGAGGTCCTTCTCCTTGTGACAGGCAGGCACCGTCAAAATCACACGGATCAAAGAGCCACTCTGCGCAGGCAACGATTGCACGAACCGGCACTGCAACGCGAAGCATCTTCGTTATGAGATGCAGAAAATGACTGAGGCATCGGGCAAAGAATTGTAATTAATCATCCACCGAAACATCCATCGCAGGACTACGCAGAGGCAAAGGTTCGGCTGCTGATCGTGGACGCCGTGCCACTGAGCTACATCAAGGCTGCTGTTCGTCGCAGCAAATCGCAGTGCATCGCGACGACGACCTTGCGACTTGGCGAGGAGACCTAAGAGGACAGCTGCAGGTTGGCCTGTAGCTTAGCGGCCGGTAGCGAGCGGCTTGCCCTCATGGACATGTACCGCTGCTGCGCTGGTCGCCTGGCCTGGGAAATATGGTTCATTCCTTATTATGGGTAATGCAGGATTTGTATCATCAACCCCAAACCCTAAACCCCCAGATCCCTTAAAGGAGCTCCTTAAAAGTACCCTTGTAGATCCCTTTAAAGGAACCCCAAAACTTATATCATCAACCGAATCAGACCTCCTCGAAACCGGAGTGTGCGCAGCAGAGATCCGGCAAAGGCGGTAGTGGACCTCGAACAGTTGCTGGAGGATGAGCAGAAGGGGTTTAGGGTTTAGGATTTTCAGGGTCAAGGGTTTAGGGGGTTAGGGGTTTCAGGTTTAGGGTTTAGGGTTTAGGGGTTTAGGGTTTAGGGTTTAAGGGTTTACGGGTTTAAGGGTTTAGGGTTTGGCGATACAGACCGGTGGGACGCTTCGGCTCGTCAGAGTGCACAGGAAGAGCATGCAGCGCAGGTGGACGGGGCACAATACCGTGACGAGGAGGCGGCTGCCTACCGTGATTGGGGTCCCTATATAGGGTTTAGGGGTTCAAGTCCCTATATATATATGACATTATAGGGGTTCATAATAAGAGCGGTAGTTCCAGAAGGCCCCGTCGGATCGTCGAAGGGCAGCAGCGGGTTCGTTTCACGGTGGTGCAAGGATCACACGGGGCGGAGGCGCAGTGTCATCTTCCTCTTGCTCGGGGCCATCCTGTGCAGGTCAGCATGGAGCTCAGTGAGGTGGAAATGCAACCGACTGAGGAGAATGGGGTGAACTCGCAAGGGACGGTGGAGGGCCGGGTGGAAAGCACGGTGCCAACTGAGCGGAGAATGGCCGACCTCTACCAACGGTGTCACGGATGTTGAGGTGCTTGCAGAGGTGGGGGAGGACATGTATGTCGTCTTTTTGGCGAGGAAGGAGGCGGAGGAGGAAGGACAACCAGCATGCACGGAGGACAGTCTTGTGGAGCAGAGGGGAACCAAACGCCGGCCGGAAGAATCAGATGCGATTCAGATCTCTAAACCCTAAACCCTGAACCCTAGACCCTGAACCCTAAGCCCTAAACCCTAGACGGTGAGGAGTAAGGGTCGTCAGATGTGTTGCTGAAGCAAAGGGATGTGTGCTATGTGGCCCATACATGGCCATCCCAGCTTTCCCCCTTGGGAGCGACGCCTAACACAAAAAAAACCCTGATACCCTAAACATCAACTTAAAACAAAAAACCCAATAGCCTAATACCCTAACACCCTAAAGCCTGATGCCCCGAAGCCCTCGGTCGTCAAAGGAAGCGTGAGACGCTGCTGGATCCAGTGTATGTGGAGGAATTGCAGACAGAGGCCCGGGTTTAGGGTTTAGGGTTCAGGGTTGAGTGATGGGCTTTTCTTTCAGTCATGGGTTTCTGCTTCGGCAGCTCATGATCACTCTTAGGACTCCACTTCACATGGTATGCTCTTCCAAATCGTCACGCTATACCCATGATCACAGACTACGTGTCCTTCGAATCTCCACTCCCAATGATCCTTCCTCCAACACTCCGTTAGCAGAGCGCCCACATCCACACCGTGGACCCTATGTACCCCCAAGCCTTCAACCCAGAACCTGACCCGAAGCCTTGAGCCAGAATAGCACCTCCGACAGTAACCCTGAAAATAGCCCATTGTGGTCGCCATCGGTAACCTTTGCTTAATAACTTATCTTTGCTGATATCTGATATATCCCGTAAAGCCTTCGAGGATGCCGCAGAACCAGAACCTCGGTAGCCTCTTTACAGGAGCCTTCACGACTTGCCTGGCTGCGATCTTCCGGTGGACTCATCGTGCAGCTCACGTGCCTCAGCCCTTGTTTGGTGCGGCTTAGGGTTTTGGGTTTAGGGTTATAATTATGGTAACTATACTTATACCTACTTATAGCCCCAATTAAGGTACTTATAACACAACTTAGTAAGTCCTATGATCCTCCAAGTAGGGTTTAGGGTTTTGGGTTTATCAAAGGGGAAAAGGAGGGATCCTTCATGGGACCCCTGCCCTATAATGGGCTATATAATGGGTACATAATAGCTATATCAAGGGTACATACCTAGGGGTCCTCATTAAGGGTCCCTCCTTTTACCCCTTGGATTTAGGGTTTAGGGTATTTTGGATCTTGAGGTGCTACCAGGTTCCCAGTAGTGCACCATTGCCCTTTTATTTGTGTCAAAAGATCCCCTTATTCAGTTTGATTGCCAGGAGTATATTGAGGGGCCATATACTACTGCGGAACCTAGTTGGTTGTTGAGGGATACGTGGTGTCGTTTCGACTTTCAGGCTGATGGTGAAGTGGTGGGTTTCGGGCGCAATGGCAAGTGCTTCTCGTCAGGTTAACCCCTGGCGCTCCGCTCTGAAATTTCTAAAGGGTTTAGGGTTGAGAGCTTAGGGCTCAGGGCCTGTGGGGCAAAAACCCTGAGGGTCCATGTACCCATATACCAGATTCTTTGGCCTAAAGTACCTATATAGGGACTACTTTAATGCCCAGGTATATACTACATAGGTACATCGACCCTTAGGGAAGCAAGCTCTCACTGTGGCGGCGAGTGGCAGGCTTTTCCTGGTCTATGTTGGCCTCGACTGCGGCAAGACCATCTTCAACAGCCCCTTGGATGCGCGGGGGTTTAAAGGGTGAGGGTATAGCCAAAGACGATAACTAACAGAAGGGAAATTCGAGCCGGGGGCAGAGTATTCCTGAAAAATGGGGTGGTCGAAGAATTTTCCTCCGAAAGGATGTAATTACTTACGTCTTATAAGGTTCTCTTGCTCTCTGTGTTACCAGGTTCTCCATTTTGGCCACGTTCTGGAAGTCAGGGACTTTGTTGTTCTAATCTCCAGGCAGCCGGCGTTGGAGTGCAGAGGCATTCGGTTTGAGGGTGGAGCGCAAATCGAAGCCTAAACCCTCATCTAAAGGTCGGAACAATCAGTAAAGCCCCAATATGGAGATCGGAACATACAGTGATACTGTCGCCCGGGTTTCGTTAATATACGAGTAGACACCATATTTCTAGCAGTTCAGGCTCCTATGTTAAACTCTATGTTTGCATTCCTACGCCAAGAGCTACCTCAGGCTACTTCCATGCGCTGCCGCAGTTCAAAATCCGTATACATATATATATATATATATATATATACTTGGATCCTACCTAGAACACCTCAAACCCAAAACCTAAAATCGTAAACCCTAAACCTCAAACCCTAAACCCCCGAACCTACACTCGAAATTTCGGCGGTTTCGAAGGTATGGCCTTGAAGGGCGATCTTGCCATCGTACCACAAAGTCTTCCGCAACCTGGTTGGGCACATTGTTCAAGGGATTGGGTTTATAGTAGAAGCCAGAAAGTTGGAACATGGATTTAGGAGGATTAGTACGACCCAAGGGTCTATTGTAGAGTTGAGGCTTGCAGGGTGTAAGCTTTTCGGATGTAGGGCGACGGATTTCGAATTTAGCGGTAAACGGTGAGGATTTTCGGTTCGGGTTCGGGGATTCACAGGGTTTTGGGGCTCAGGGATTCTTGACGCACGAGTTGATGCTTCTTTGGAACCCTTCAATAGTCGCTACGCGCCCTTCGTATAGGTTTTTGAAAGCCTAAGCCCCAAGACCCGCAGCATTGGACCTCAGGTCTACTTTTCTGTTGCGGGCTCGGGAATGGATCACTTGCGAACTCCCAAACCCTAACCGCAAGCGCCCGCGCACCCATGAGTGTGACTGTGTTAACGTTCGCCCCAAAGTACCTATAATTAAATGATTTACGAACGCTTCTGGATCCAAGTGTATACAATGTAGATACAAAGGGCCTAGGGGCAACATGGCCCTCGTCTCAGACGCTGAAGACGTGAGTCTTACTAAGAAGAGCTCTGAACCATATTGAATTTAAATCCTCACCACGGAAACCCAAAACCCTGAACCCGCCCCCCCCCCCCCGACCCCCCGGGCCCTCCCACAACAGGAATGTGCGCGGAGAAGCGAACACACACACACACACACACACACACACGCACATAAATGCAGCACTCCAAACCCCAGCCGATCCTCAAACCTCGAGGATTTGCCAGTCGGCTTTGCAGATGCTCGGCCTCGGATATTTTGAGAGGTTGAAGGCCCAAAACGCAAGACCCCAAGCCTATGAACCCTAACGCTCTAAGGACTCGCACTTTAAGGCTTTTGGCTCAAAGACCATACTATGAACGGCTTTTGGGTCGAGTTCAGTCTTGGGACAAACGTTGAGCTCTTCGAGTATCGCCCGAAGACACTAAGGACTATGGACTCATGTGGGAGGTTCCGAAAATCAGGGGTGCCCTGTTTGGGGTCCTTATAGCAAGGATCCTACTATTTGGGGTACAACATTAGGATCCCTAATCTCGGAAACTCCCATGCTCCAAACAATGTTACAGCTTTCAGGCCGTTGTTTTGACCGGTTTGGTCCACGGGGTCCAGGCTTTTGGGTCAGGGCTGAGGATTTAGACTTTAGGGGTTTAGGGTTTAGCGTTCAGGGTTTCTCTAGGGTCTACACTCAAAATCAAGATGAGGAGCCGTTGTCAAGATGGTCAAAATCACACAAAAAGCAAGAGAGGTCCAGAGTCGAGGTCCTTGGTTCTAATTTGGTGTCTATACTTAGAGGATCATGGGACCTAGTAAGTAAGGTTATAAGTACCTTAATTAATTGGGGGTACAAGGAGATATAAGTATAGTTACCCCAGTTATAACCCTAGTTACTAAGTCCCATGATCCTTTAAGTAGGGTTTAGGGCTTGTCGGTGAATCGTGTGCATATTCGCCTTCGCTGGTGCTTGATGCTCCGAGAGAACTTGGTTCTAGTACAGGGTTTAGGGTTCAGGGTTTAGGGTGCAGGGTTTCGGATTTAGGCGTCGTGTAATTGCCGTCATTGCTTTCGAAGCTTTCAACGAAGTTCATGCCGTCGCGCGTCCAATGGTATGTGACCTGCGTGGCAGATGGGGGTGTGGGGCTTTACTGTGTACGGGGATCTTAGTTTCATGCTACCCTACGAAGGAAACCTTAATTATCTACTGTAGAGACGTATCACGGTAACTTCTGTATGTTCCTTGATAAGAGCTCAGCTTAGGATTCACTGGCTCAGCGATGTTTGCCGAGGTTCCGTTTGAGCAATCCCTCAAAACTCCCCCAAGTGCAGACACCCACAGTAGCAGTCTGGTGCAAAAACTTGATACAGGCAGTAGAGAGAGTTCACAGACATAACATAAGGGAGTTTCCGAAAATTAGGGCTACCTTATTTTGGGGTCCTTATAATAAGGATCCTACTATTTGGGGTACTATATAAGGGTCCTCTATTTTGGGAAACTCCCATAATTCTTCCGAAAATACCGAAAGCTCAGACCCTAGATGTGAAGTCCCGACCTCTGTTTCCTGCCCAGGATAGTCTTGGGCATCGTCTGCGTGTACGCCTTTCTCGGCAGGGAGTTGGTGGCCGAGGCACTTTGATCAGTGTTCAATCGTCTCACATATAAGTGGTTGTGGCGTTGTATGCGGGGGGTTTGACGGTTGTATCCGGCTTTAAACCAGGTTTATCAGACATTGCTTTGGAAGTGTCCTCCTGTCCAGCTTCGGGGTGGTACAGTAAGGATTTAGAAGCTACGACTAGGATGTCCTCTCGCCATTTCCCTCCCTCAATCTCCTGCATGTATGTGTGTATATATACATATATACATGTATGCATCGACCACATGGAAGCATGTTTGCATGCATGCATGCATGGAAGTAAGTATGTATGCATCCATGCATGAATGTATATGTACCCCAACCCGTGTCCCTAAGAACTCTAGCCCTCGTCCCTAAACCAAACCCTACGCCCTCGTCTCTAAACCCCAAACCCCGAGCCCTCGACCCCGACCCCGATGTATACCGCTACGAAAGAGTTCAATGGGAAGAGGATCCGAATCATCATCCCGAACCCCCACCCCCAAACCCTACACCCTAATCCCTCAACCCTAAACCCCTACAGCCCCAAACCCTAAACCCTAATCCTTCAATGAGGCTTCCGTAGGTCGTACCCACGTGCAGACGGAAAAGAGCCTTCAGAAAAGCAAAAACCCTAATCACTATAAGCCCCAAACCCTGAAGCTTAAACCTCAAAGGGGAAAAGGAGGGACCCTTAATAGGGACCCCTACCCTATAATGGGCTAAACAATGGGTATATAATAGCTATAAGAAGGGTATATACCTAGGGGTCCTTATTAAGGGTCCCTCCTTTTACCCTTGGATAAACCGAAGGTGTTCAACGGCAAGAAGATCCTAAAGTTCTTCCCGATTTCCCTCATCTTCGCGATGGCTCAAGCCTTCCAAGTTGCTCGAACGCGGAAACAGGGCTTGGGGTTTAGGGGCTTATTCTTTTGGCTTTGGGGGTTAAGGGTTCAGGGTTAAGTTTGGGTTGTGGGGCCTCTTCGTTGGGGTTTTGGGCTGTAAGGGTTCAGGGTTAAGTTGGGGTTTGGGGGCTTCTTCTTTGGGGTTTTGGGGTCAAGGGTTCAGGGTGAAGTTGGGGCTTTGCGGCTTATTGTTTCGGGTTTGGGGTCGAGGGTTCAGGGTTAAGTTGGGGGCTTTGCGGCTTATTGTTTCGGGTTTGGAGTGTGAGTGCAGGTATCAGGTTTAGGCGGGGCGAGGCGGCTGCGCCTTCTTTGTTTTCGACTCAACCCAGGGGTTGATGGGGGCAGTACCCAGGGTATTGGGCTCCCTAAACCCTATAGTAGGCTATATAATGGGTATATAACAGCGATATGGGTTGAGGTTTAAATTTCAGGTCTTTAGGTCCGTATATATCTACGTAACCCTTCCGTTTCTAGTTTCGAAACCCGGCTTTGGTGATGGCGGGTCGCCATTGATCGACACTGGCTTCAGGTTTTTTTACTCAAGCTTAAGGTTATTAGGGTTATGGTTTTGGCTTGGCGCTTTAAGGTTTCTGTTTTTGTTGTTTCAGCTTTCGCAGAGATGTTATGTTAGTATCTGTTGTATCCGGCCCTCAAGTACCACGCTTGCAGGCTTTCGGTCAAGCCTGCACGATTCTTGCAGGACTTATGTATGTTAGAACTGCATCTCAGGGTCTCAGAGTCACATGCACTCAGGCTCCTAGAATACTGACTCTTTCTTCCGAGGAAACCGCTCGATTTGATCCGATTTTGGTTTGCGGGTCTGGCCTGGTCGTGTCCTTCGTACTCGCAAGCAGCAGAAGGAGATTCGTAAAAACAAGCCGCCGTTCGTTCCGAGCCCATGGCACTACAGCACTGCTCCGAAACATCACAGCCGTTCAGGTAAACAAGTTCATGGTACACGCAAAGCTTTGCGAAACTCTAAAGCCTAAGCCAAAACCCTAAACCCTAAACCTTAACCGTGGCCGTGCTTCTTGTCCTCAGACTCTGGCATACACGGTCATCAGTGGTGGAACAATCAAGATTTTGGGCCAGGCCTGGAAACCTTGGGAGGGAGTTCCTTGGGTTTAGGGTTTCGGTTTAGGGTTTCAATTGTTCTGGGGCCTTGGGTTAAGTCGATACTGAGGGTTGGGGGAGGTAAGGGGGCATGTCCACATTAGTTTTAGCTACCCACTGTCAGCGCTCATCTCGCGAAGAGGGTTTAGGGTTTAGTGTTCAGATAAGGGTTACCATAGGCCCCAAAGTAGTTCCTTTTTGTGGTTTATATATATATATATATAGAATTCTATCAGGTAGTCCCAAAAAGGAACTACTATGGCTATGGGTAAGAATTAGGATGAGGGGTTTTCCAGTTTGAAGTCCGTGTGGTTTTTATAGGGTCTAGGAAGTGAGCCTCATGATGTGAACGAATATGCTACGAGGCAACATGATGCAGTTTATTATAACATACATACATACATACATACACACATACATACATGGACACATACATGCATGCATATATGTGTATATATATATATATATATGTAATATGGCTCGGTTGAGCATATGAAGTAATCTCCGCATGTCAGAACTTCACAAGTTTCAGCCTTTCGGCCATGAGGAGCAAGGTAGCCCAATGTCGAGATTTCCTCGGGGGAAGCCTGATAGTTAGGGACCCCAAAGGCACATAAGCATAACTGTGTTACAGGGATATCCCTACCTTATTGGGCTTCGGTAGATGGGGATTTATATGGGATATCCCTATCCTTGTTTTTGCTTATGTACTTGGCCCTACATAAACAGATCGCCTTGAGGAATGCCATGCATGAGCATGCAGGTTCAAACTGTAGGGTTAAGGGTTCAGGTTCTGGGGGTTTGGGCTTAAGGCTCTAAATGCGACAGCATTCAATGAACAAGGATCGCAAGTCTTTACCCCTAAACCCTAAACCCTAACCCTATCCCTCCAAGGACCTGATAGTTAGGGCCCTAGACCCCTTAAGGGCCCCATAATAAGGTCCCTGGAGGGATAGGGTAACTACACCGATCGCCTTGATCGACCTTACAGATGTTCTCTTTTCAAGAGACAGCGGCTCTGCCGGACACGAGCCAAGCAAGGGTAGCAGTGTTGAAGCTGGCACTTGGAGGCCCAGGGGACTTGGTAAGTAGGTTATAAGTAGGGTTTTAATTGGGGTAACTCCATTTAAAGTACTTATAACCCTACTTATAACCTACTTGCTAAGTCTCCCGGGCCTCTAAGTACAGCACTTGGCTGCGACTTTGCACAAGATTTCGACTGCACGGGTATGTGACCCTATGCTCAGCATGCTCCCTGGGCCCCGTATGGCTTTAAGGCTTTATACAGGTTTAGGGTTTAAGGTTTAGGGTCTAGGGTTTAGGGTCCCGATAGGGTTTAGGATTTAGGCCCTTTTACATGTCGGGTCACCCCCGAAACCTTAAAGCTAACCCTGGGGGCCCAAGCCACCCCGTTCCGGAGGTGCGTTTGCTGCAGCGTCTTGGTTGCGCTGGGCATCTTATGTGGCTGAAGCAAGACCGGAAAGCCGTACAGGCTAGAAAACCCATACAGACATGAAGTAAACCCGCGCTCCACAGGAATGTTGGTGTGTGTGTGTGTGTGTGTGTGTCGGTTTTTGGTTTGACTATGTGGCTAGGAGCAGCACTAAGCTAGCAACACAAGGCCTGCTGCACATCACACGAAGCACATCACAAAGGTTCAGGGTTTGAGGCTCTCCACATCACACAGATCTCGAGTACATACCAGGTTTTGGGCGAGTGGGGTAGTCAGGGTTTAGAGTTTAGAATGAACTATCCAAAAAAAAACTTGCTCCTTTTCTAGGGTCCCTGTACCTTCTATACCAGGGCTCTATAGAATAACCTACATGTAAAAGGGCAGGTCTGAGTAGTTGTTGATAGGGTTGAGGGATCCTATAGTCTCCTTAGGAATTATTTTCTTTAAGTTCTGTTCATATGAAACCCAAGAGCATGTCAAAAATGCAATTTGTATTATGGTTCTAAGCGGGGTATAGGATCAGGGTAAAGGCCTAACGGTTGCCGCTGCGAAAGACGAAGTTGCGAAGGATCGTCAGGTTCATGGCCATGGCTCAGACTGGGTTCTTGTTAAGGGACTTAATGTAACTTACCATAAAAGGGCTCTATGGTAGATAAATTGGGTACCTA